TGGCCTCCTCCAAAGTAAGTGGAGGTGGTGGGAAAGCTTTCCTGGCTTTTTGCTGGCTCTGGATCCTGTCGCTGGCTCATCAAAGTAAACTTGAGCTAGCGGTCTCCCATCTTGCCTGCCAATCCTAGGAGTTATCAGCAGCCTGCTTTCTTACCTGCCAACCATGGATTACTTTGCTTCTGGTGCCAGAAGCCTACAGTCTGACCTGCCGATCTCTGGTTCATCAGCCCCTGCTATTACATGAGACAGGAAAAGTCTCTGGTCTGACATCTGACTCAGGGACTTTGAACTTGCCCGTCACTACACCTATGTGAGCCATTTCCTTTATTTATTTGGATAGATGATAGATAGATAGACAGACAGATAGATAGATAGATAGATAGATAGATAGATAGATAGATAGATAGATAGATAGAGATATAATTTATTCCTTTTGTTTTCTAGAGAACCCAGCCAAAGACACCATACTTATTCCTGTATACTGAGCAAATAATACAAGAAGCTTCTGGAGTATATGACAGATGGAGCATCGGGATTGGAAGAAGGCTCATTTACAATCCTAGGGAGATGACACTCTTTGCTTGCTGAAAGCAAGGACTTGAAGCACTTGCTGGTGACAATCAAAGGCTACAGCTTTCAGTATGGACTGCAACTCAATGTAAAGAAAAAACAAATCTTCACACCTGGACCAATACATAAAATCATGAGAAATGGTTGAAGTTGTCAAGGATTTCATTCTCCTTGGATCCATAATCAACACTCTTGGAAGCAGCTGTCGAGAAATCACAGTACATATCGTGTCAGTCAGAGCGGCTGCACAAGACCTACATAAAACAAAGATGTCCTCGAGGACTAAGGGACACCTGACTTGGCTATAATATTTTCTTTTCTTTTTAAAATACTTTTACTGGGGGCTCTTACATCTCTTATCACAATCCATACATTTGCATGTATGCTGACATCATCATTTTCAAAGCATTCTCCTCCCACTTGAGCCTCTGATATCAGCTCCTCCTTTCTTCCCCTCCCTCTCCCACTCATCCTCCCTCATGAACCCTTAATAAGTTATACATTATTTTTTCCATATCTTACATCATCCTCCATCACCTCTCACCCACTTTTCCATTATTCGTCCCCCTGGGAGGGGGTTTTAGGTTGATCCGTGTGATCAACTTCCCTTTTCTCCCCCCACCTGCCCCGAATCTTCTTGGTATCTCTATTCTCCTTGTTGGCCCTGAGGGGTTTATCTATCC